TATGTGCCGTTCTGGTGTATATCATGGTATGTCATACTGAATTGGAGCGTACACTATTGTGTGTTTCTGGCGTAGCATCGTGATATAAAGTCCTAAACCCTAAACCCTAAACCCTAAACCCTAAACCCTAAGCCGAAGGTGGTTTCCTGGCCTGGAGTCCTCTTGTTGCTAAGGTTCACGTGGATCTGTGCGGTCCGGCTTATGGAACCTTTTGCCGCAGCACCAGTGCTTCTGGCTGCACGATGTTTGGGGTTTACGGGTCTAGGGGTTTGAGGGCTTTAGGAGTTTGTGGTTTAGGGTTTAGAGGTTTAAAGTTCAGGAGTATAAGGTTCAGAGGTTTGGGAGTGTAGGGGTTGGACCACAGTGGCTCTGCATGCGATCGGGGCTAACTCCGGCATGGTGTTGTGAAGGTGCGTTGAAGTCCATGCCCACTGGCAAGGAGCTGCCGATAGCCAGGCGCTCAGATAATCCCACCGATGTTTCAAAAGGCAACTGCAAGCTTGCAAAACTCTGCTGACTTGCATTTGGGTCGTTGTAAGTTGCGATCTTCGTGTATTGTGACCGTATATGAAGAGCTTGTTGTGGCAGAATGTTGTCTTTGCACACACGTCCATTCCCATTGAATGCGCAGCTTGGAGCAGGACTATTTCATCACGCCGTGCTACGTGATGACCCCATTCCAGTCACAACAGAATCTCAGCAGAAGGGTTGCATGACTTCTGCAGCCAAACTCGTTAAACATGCGGAGAAGTTGTGAGATCTGCCTCAGGATGTTTTTTGTGCACCCCGAGTCCCTGAACTACGCGCCTGCAGATGCCAAGTTCACTGCGCTTCATCAGATCCGCCACCTGCGATGCTTCTACCACGGCCACAGTAGCTACTAAGACTGCTTGGCAAGGGTCTGTGTGTCCGGGGAGCCCTAGTCGAGTATTTTGAAGCTCCTCTTTGTACCCAGCTCCGACCCTATGTGTCATGAGTGTGGCAGCCTATATGAGCCACGTGCTGCGTTTCAATTTGGCACTGCACTGTGGACAGGTAGAACTGATAAACACCTCGACCCAGGCATACCCAGGCCAAGATTACGAGCAACTTATTGTAGTGTGTCGCAGGCTATATCACAGCCACCCCTCTGCCAAGCTTCGCGGACGATGAGAAATTGAACAGCTCCTGGTTACGGCTTCGATCGCCGACCGAAGAGGGAATCGACACCGTGCACTCATGGAAGGACAGCCACGGGAATACCAGCACTTTGGCACAGCGTCATTGTAATTGAACTAATTGAGCCCGTGCACACTCGGTCACTCGGCACTCATGTGGGCCGGGCCTTCCCGCTGGACGATGTTAGAGTTCGAGCTTCCAGCGGCACTTTTACGATTCATCAGAGACGTAAGCCTAGCTTTAGGCTCAGGTCCCCAGATGCCACTATATGTCCTTGAAGCAGGAGGGGTTACAGTCGATTGCATTCTTCTTGCGGGCCGCTTGGCAGAATCGCTGCTACATCTGGGGTTGCACACATGCCCGTGCACACACAACAAGTGTGCATCTGTTCTCCTTAGCAGCTGGGCAGATTCGCCATAGCCCCAGCTGTGAGAATATGCAACGTACAGGCGCCTGCATTGCCTGATGCGAAGGTGCAGCACAAGAGTTGCAAGGATCTCCCTGCGGATTTATCGTTTTCTGTCAAGGCCGAGATCTTCAAGGCTTTGGAGCCGGGAACATACGTCGAAGTCGACGCTTCCTGCATCTCAGCTTCCATGGTTTTGCGTTCGAGAGCAGCGAGCAAAGGAGTTTGTCCAACTGGCGCGGAAGCAAAGCCTGCTAGGAATGTGCACCGCAACTGAAGGTAAGAGCGCCGATTGCGCAGGCAAGCTTGGCAAAGTCTTGCTTGCAGCGGAGCGAAGTACTGAAAATGCCTCGGGCTTAGCTCTCTCTGGCAGATGCGTTGACTATGTGCATACATGGTCAGCCACCGGTATTTGTCAACTAACGTCGTGGTTATAAGCAGTAGTGACAGAGTCGTCTGTTGCATTCCTACGTCCTCATTCGTGCCCAGTAGTTCGCTTAGACATGGCCTCGGTGTGCTTTTACTGGAAGCCATTTGTATGAGCCTACCATAGGCGGACCTCCTGATTCAGCTCGATGGCGTGGCTGAACCAGTTCGCATTGAATCCGTGGCCCTGAAGATCTATCCAAGGTACGTCCAGTGACTTGCCCCCTTGTGATTGCATTCGCTTTCTCCAAGGCACATGTGATAACATACAGAAATTTTCCACAGGTGTTTGCTCTTTCAAGATTATTCAAGTGCGGCAGTCGTGTCCTTCAAGGTATTTGACCTTAGCCGAGATGTCCGAGCTGGTGAGATTTCAGCTGGCCCTTCTTGACCCAGGATTTAGGCATGCTTGCAAGCAAGCCCCGTCGCTTATCTGCACTCGGTTCGATCCTGCGGCTGCCAGTCGTAAACTCTCGTAGATGTCTTCGGATTCTTGCTTCTGTCCGCGTCTAGAAAGGCTCACCATCTGTACAGTCACCTGTCGTTTGCGTTTAGGGCTTACTGCCCGTAACCCCGAAACCCTAAGTCCGACATCCCCTAAGCCCTAAGGCCCTGAACCCTCGGTCCGACATCCCCGAAACCCGAAGCCCTAAATCCGAAACCCTGAAACCCTAAATCCCTAATCCCTAAACCCTAAACCCTAAACCCTAAATTCCTAAACCCTAAATCCTAAACCCTAAAACCCTAAACCCAAAACCCTATAAACCCTTAACCCTAAAACCCTAAGCCCAACACAGAATTCAAATTTGATGGTCGAAGCTGAGCGGAGGCCGATGCCCAGCGATCTGATTGGCTACTTGCGCAGGGAACACTGGTGAGTGCCATACAAAAGAACTTAGGGTTTAGGGTTTAGGGTTTAGGGTTTAGGGTTTTAGGGTTTTAGGGTTTTTAGGGTTCAGGGTTTTAGGGTATTAGGGTTTAGGGTTTAATACGAGTAACAACAAGCACACATGAAAAAGCAATGAAAACAAATAATACGACGGATGAATATATGATCAGCATCATCGTCATCATCATCATCATCACCATCATGAAAAGCATAATACCAAGAATAGCAAGACCACAGATGCTTCGCAGATTTGCTTGGCTGCGCGCCTCGATGGATTGTAGGTATGCAAAGAGCAAAGCGCCCGAGGTGTGGTACGGCTGTTGATGGTTTTGGATCACAATTTACTGAGATCGCGTCTTGCTTTGGTGTCATTTGCTTCTGCCGCTTGAGCCATTTCCCAGCTTCCGGAAAATCGGGCCGAGCAGCAAAGCCTTATTTCTTGAGCACCAGCTGTTGCATGACCCGCTAAACGTACTGTTTGTGAGCTGACGACAGCAGCACAAGAGTTTGACCACCACATGCCAACAATGTATCTGCAGGGTGGCCCTTGTCTGCAGCATTCCACTTTACATGCCGTCATCGAACCCCTTCCTCTCACTTGCTAGCAGTTGCGCCTCACCTTCGTCAGTGATAAGACACGAGAATTCCAGTAACGTTGGTTTCGCATGGCGGATCCCTTGACTGGGTTGCTTCAAAAGAAGAAGCAGACTGCCGCTCCCTCAGCGTTGCAGCCGAGAGTGTGCGCAAGCTTAAAGCTTCGCCTTGACTCTTTATACCGTTCCATGCTGTAGTCTCCATTGTAGTTCCTTTTTGGGGATACCTTATAAAATCCTTACTATATAATTGGTTAAACCCAAAAAAGGAACAACAATGGAGACTATAGGTATGCTGTACCCATCTAGTATAATCCTCCTAGTATTGCACCCTTATAGTAAGAGGGTGGCTCTCTCCCTAAACCCTAAACCCTAAACCCTAAACCGTGTAGTAGCCCAGTGCAGAGAGTCCTTCATGGCGCGGAGCATCACCTGACCGAGGAGGCTCAAGCTGCGTCGTCGACCGCAAAACCTGCAAAGGGCCTTTTTGACTTCGATGTGGTGCCGTGGCCAATTTATGATTTACAGGGTTTAGGGCCTTAGGGTTTTTAGGGTTTTTAGATGATTATTTATGATCTCGGGTTTAGGGCCTTAGGGCCTTAGGGTTTTTAGATGATTATTTATGATTTGGGGTTTAGGGCCTTAGGGCCTTAGGGTTTTTAGTGATTCTTGACTATTGGGGTCCGATATTTCAAGCCTGTCCAGCGTTTCTTCACTAGGTGGCACTATAACCATACTGGCCTAGTCTGCTTGGAGCCGAGGGAGTGGCCCAATGCAGTTTGCATTCTGCGTGCCGCCGCTCCAAGGAGTCTACCTTGAGCCGCAAGCCAGGCTTTACATCAGGCGGGTTTCCCCCTCTGTTCTTGGTATGTGATTCGAAATATGTGGGAGTTTCCGAAAACATAGGGGGTACCTTATTTTGGGGTCCTTATAGTAAAGATCCTGCAATTCGGGGTACTACATTAGGGTCCCCTATTTTGGGAAACCCCCTTTGTGATCGAAATATGTGGGACAGCTACTCTGCAGAAGCGTAGTTCATGACCCGGAGGAAGTTAACACGGCTTGGAGAACACAAGAGCCCAACAGAACCTCCTGATCCTTTCACGACGGTCTGCTGAGCTACGACTCTTACTCCACTCCTTGCAGCTGAATCTCGAGAATGTAGTACTATGAATATTTTTTTATTAAACTATTAGAATAATAGTGATACTGTTGATGGACAAAATTCTGCATGACCCAAATATAGTATAGTACCATAAATCCCATAGTTTAGGTATATAAGTTCATGCAAGATTTTGTCCATCAACAGTAGTAATAATTATTGTTCTTACTATTTTGATTATTCTTCTATCGTCATCATTAGCATTATAACTACACCCATCGTTATTCATAGCAAGAAGATAATCATGATATAGTAAACAAGTATAATATAATGACACTACTTGCAATATTCATAATACTAATTATAACTATTCGTATTTTTGTATATTTTAGTTCTTCCAGGCGGAGAGCCTGCAGAACCCACTATCGGCGAGCGGATCTTCCAGGCCATGGACTCACAGAGTTTCTGAGCGGGACCGGCTTGCTGGTCCCGGTTTGGGCTTAGGGCCTTGGGGCCTTTGGGGTCTATAGGAGTTTCGGAGTTTAGGGTTTAGGGTTTAGGGTGTGGGAGTTTACGAATTTCGGGTTCCAGATGTTCTTGGGGCCTTTGTCGGCCATCGAAGTGTATTCCGCCTGCAGCCATGAGCAGAATATTCGGCAATGGCAGGCACTGGCAGCAGGCAGTAATGTCGATTTTCCCACAGCGTCTTAGCTGCAAGCAAAGTGCTTCTCGTGCAGCTCTGTGTGGCAGAGACACCCAGCGATACCTTATAGCTTACCACCCTGTTTGTGTTTGTCATATGCCATCCAGGTGACTGAGATCTGCGATCGAGTTGCAAAGGAACCTCGAGAGGCAGCGAAAAGGCCCTTGTTGCCGAGACTAGGAAGTGACGGCAGCCTCGAGGTGCCCGAGGCCGTGAGGCTCCTCGCTGGTGCCTTTGCCGAGAAGGGTGGCCTGCCCAGGAGGAAGCTCAAGGCAGGGCTGGGAAACAAGCCGCTGCTACAGGGCGCTTCTGTGTGCTTTCTGTGTGGGTGAACGGGTCACGGGCAGGCCCTCACCATTATGAACGAGCTACTTGTCAGCATGGGTGAGAGATGGCATCCCTGGCCATCAAGACAAGCTCTCAACTTTGCCTTCTCTGCCGAGCTAGCAGACCTCGGCATACTTCGACAAATACTCAAGCCATTGTCATGTCGTGTTTGGAATGCAGTCGGAACCAAGCCCAGTCTGGACAGCCTGAAGCCAGGACTTGAACGGATACGAAGGGATCCCTCCCCATTCTGGATCGCTGAAAGCTGAAGGCTCCTTTACGACAAAAGGGCGGAGGCTGAGCTTCGGCAAGTCCACGGCGTGCGCGATGCCCTGTGGACCCTACAGGCCTGTGAATGGGCGCTGCAGCCTGAAGCCATGGAACTTGAGAGGGGCTCCTCAGATGTGGTCCTTAAGATAAATATAAGAATAATATATATATATATAAGAATAATATATATGTATATATACATATTGTATATCATATAGATTACAGTGTTCCTATTTCGCTGCCAGACAACCTCCAACAGTGGGCTTGGTCCGGAAGCAGATGAGCAGATCCGCATGTTTGCCACAGAGGCGGGCTGGCTCCGGTATGGGGGCTGAAGCAATTGAAAGCAGCCTGTGTAAGCTGCGTTTCTGAAGCGACACATGCCATGCAGGTGGAGAAAAAATGCTTCGGAGCCTCTGGTGATCCCTTTGCGGCGCCTGCATTGGTACCAGAGGAGCTTTCCGAACTTGCATGCTCCCGCTAACACAATCGCATAGCGTATCCAAGCCATTCATGCAACCATCGGGCAGCGCAAATTTGACAACCATTCGCACACTTTGGGCTTGAACAGCGGCGAAGCAGAAAACTGCGTGATTTTTGGAGATTTTTTTTGCCAAAGAGCTACGACTTCGACCAAAGCCCCTGCTCGTTAGGTGCAACCCCCAACTGTCCCAGAGACTCTAAAACCCTTTAATTAAGGAATATACCCTAAATCATATTAGGGATCCGATTAGAATTTACGGTTTATTCCGTAATTAAGGGGTTTTGGGAGTCTCTGGGGTCGCAGACGCAGGATCCCTTCACGCTGCCAGTGGTAAATTCCGTTCCTGCTCCGGCCCCGTTGGGGGCACTTTCGCACGGTGCTGAGTTTCTTCACCTACGGCGAGCAGTGGTCCTATAGTTAAGACTGAACCCTAAACCCTAAACCCTAAACCCTAAACCGACTGGCATATCGCCGAGGCCGGCCAAAGACTCCATGAAAGACGTGGGCTCTTCGATGCTAGGCAAGGCTTCTGCGCTACACGATGTCATACATCACTGCTGGGTCCTGCTTGTGCACATTTTGAAAAGAGCAGGGTGTTAAGACATGCTCAGACCGAGTCAGTGCATTTTGACTTATGACCTGAAGCACGACCAGGGACAGCTCAAAGGCAAGAAGACTGTTCGAAAACATGCTCCGATTGAGACTCTTGAGACATGGCAGATAAAAATGAGCAAGCCTGAACGGTGGGTCCATCGCCCTCGTTTGCCCCAGTTTGCTTGCTAACAATGTGCGAAAAGCACGGCAGGATCGGCACTTTCGGCTCTTAGCATGGCTTAACATGGCGTCCAAATTATGATGATATGCGGAACCAAAAACGCCAAAAACCCGATGTTTCTGCGCGGCCGGGTTTGTGATTTTGAGGACTGAACTGTATCGGCTTGACT